AAAAATAAGTAAAAAAGTTCGTATAAATGTATCTATTTCCAAAAATGCTTAGTTTTGGAGATACAGGGTGTGGAAGTTTCATTTTCATTTCAATTTTTTCCAAATAATTTCTGAAGTAACGTCAATATTTCGATGAAAATTGGTGTTTGGGAGTTTTTTGACATGAGAAATTTGATTTTGATGTCCATATGACTTCTACTAGTAGAGGGCGCCACCTACATATTTTTTATCTGGTTTGAAGAGTAATAACTTTTCGTTCGTACCTGCATAAAACTACTGAGTAAAAAAATATACATTTACGACGTTTTTTACGTGAAGAAGGTCTCTTGGTAAAAATCGCTACGAGTAATGGTTTTCGAGATATTTGTAATCGAAAATATCAATACCTGTCATCATTGACATAAATTAAACATGTTGACTAAATACCGTATGATCGAGAAAAAACGGCGTCAGCGATGGCTATGGAATGAAGATCGCTGTCATTTTATATGTAAATTTATATGGGAAATGTCATTGATGTTCATTTCCCAGCCAACTGGACGCCGTTTTTTTCTCGATCATACGGTAGTTATTAGACTGAAATCATAAATTTGAAAAGTTTGTGTGCCAAAAGTTCAACAGAAATTGTTTTATCATCATTTTTTGCAGAAAAATTTATGATTAATTTAAAAAAATAAAAATTTCCCAAATTTATTATTTCAGTGAAATAACTATCTACTCAACGTGTTTATTTTTCGTCAATAACGACATGTATTGTCTATTTCCATTCTAAATATCTTAAGAATGGTTGCTCGTAGCGATTAAAGCTCGTAGCGATTACAAAGAGATATTGTTTACATAAAATGTCACGGAAGTGTATATTTTTTCGCTCGGTAGTGTTATACAGGTACGAACAAAAAGTTATTACGCTTCAAAACAGTTAAAACACATGTAGGTGGCGCCCTCTCCTAGTAGGAGTCATATTGACACTAAAATCAAATTTCTCATGTCAAAAAACTGCTAGACACCGATTTTCATCCAAATATTGACGTTACTTCAGAAATTATTTGGAAAAAATCGAAATAAAAATGAAACTTCTACACCCTGTATCTCTAAAACAAAGCATTTTAGGACATACATTTATACGAACTTTTTTACATATTTTTATCTGCAGAATATGCTGCCGAAGTTTCCGGAATACAGTTCGGACCACCCTGTATAGAATCTCTTAAGTTATTTCATAAATTTGTTTTTAAAATAGACACGATTTACCTGGAATGAACTGGCATATGCGCCTAAAATTATAAATTGAAACACAATAAAAAAATAAAATACCTAACATGTCTTCATGAAATAAATAAAAAACTCACTCAATTAATAATTTCGGAACGTACTTAAAATTTTCTAAACAATACGAACCGATCTCAGACACGCCCTAAAAAGCATAAGTATGACGTAACGTTGAACACTCATCATATTCCTTAACGATATTTAAATTGTACTTTTTCGGCTATATAAAACTGTACTGGCGCCGAATATGTCCATGGTTGGTAACAATGAATTTAAAAATTGCGCCTTCAATTACGTAACTAAAAGTTTAATTGGTATCGAATATAGGTTTTTATTACAATAATTTCTAATAATAAAATGCATATTTTAAATACTTCTGAGTCTGAATATTTATTCAAACCAAATTTCCAGATTTATAATACAATATGAAGTGTACCTGAAGGATTATATTAACTGAAACTAATTGAGTTCCTTAGTCATACAGGGTCCGGCAATAGTGCGTCGGGCATCTGTAGCTCCTAGAATAAAAAACTTGAGAATTTTTTTTAAGTGCAGACCTAAAGTATGTACCAGGATGTATTTCAGGAAAATATTTTAACTTCTATAGGGTGGCTCAAAAAAGTGTGAGTGGGCCTGGATGATTTTTTTTAAAATGGAACACCCTGTTATTATTGCATTTTTGGCTTCCTTTTAGATCACTTTACATAACCCTAAGATATGAATAAACATATTTCGGTAGTTTCAGAGATATTAAAAAATAAATCAAAAATATATATTTTTTAGCCCTTCTTAAAGAAGAATATTAAAAATACAGGAAAATCAAAACTATATTAGGTATTTACTTTAGATGGTTTATTCTTACTTTGCTATAAATATGGTAGTCGTAAATCATACAGGATGTTCAATATTCTACGCGAAACTTTCTAAAATATAAAATATTTTTTCTTTGTTTTTTTAAATGGAACACCCTGTATATTAATTTTTTATTAGATGGACAGTTAAAAAATGAACATTTTTTGTATTTAGAGTATTTCAAAATTTTTAACGGTTTCGCAGATACATACGCTATTATTTCATATGGCGCTTTCAATGTAAAATACGAGAGAAAAATCATTGGGTGACTTTGATAAAAGTTTACTGGTGGAAAATGCCATATGAAATATAAAACCGCCAATATCTACAAAACAGTTAAAATTTTTGAAATACTCTAAATACAAAAAATGTTAATTTTTTAATTCTCCATCTATTGAAAAAATAATATACAGGGTGTTCCATTTAAAAAAAACAAGAAAAATTATTTTATATTTTAGAAAGTTTGGCGTAGAATTTTGAACATCCTGTATGATTTACAATTTTCATATTTATAGCAAAGTAAGTACAGACCATCTAAAGTAAATACTTAATACAGTGTTGATTTCAGAACAGTTCTTGTATTTTTAATAATTTTTTTAAGAAGGGCTGTAAAATAAATATTTTTGATTTATTTTTTAATATCTCTGAAACTATCGAAATCTATTTATTCATATTTTAGGGTTATGTAAAGTGATCTGAAAGGAAGCCAAAAATGCAATAATATACAGGGTGTTCCATTTAAAAAAAATCATCTAGGTCCACTCACGCTTTTTTGAGCCACTCTATAGAAGTTAAAATATTTTACTGAAATACATCCTGGTACATACTTTAGGTTTACACTTAAACAAAATTCCCGAGTTTTTTACTCTAGGAGCTACAGATGCCCGACGCACTATTGCCGGACCCTGTACATTAAAAAAAAATGACAAAAAAAACGTATCACAATTTAATGCTTTTTTTCAATTTCTTCCATAATCCATATCAAAACAAAATTCGTATATCATGCAAAAATGTATAAAGAAATTGTCCCATATTCCTGACAACCTTTATTTAAATATCAGATTTTTATCAGAACAATATCAAACAATAAAACCAGGTTGGGTAATTAAAAGCACAATTTGACATCACTTATGATAAATAGCTCTGCTAACACGACTTTGCTTAGTAAAGCTCCAGGAAAAATCAATAAATGAATATAGTAAATAAATTGAAATTGATATTAAACAGTAGCGTACTTTCGCAAAATCGTTATATTATGGAAGTAGCCCTCTTTTAGAATACCAATAAAACAAAAATATCAATAAGAATATTAAAAATAGTGTAATATAGTAATTATATCTTGAAAAGATACCTAATTCTTAAATCTAATATAAATAAATGTAATGCTCAGACAAAAAATCTTCCGTCAACTGGACTAGACCAACAAAGGATTAAAAACAGATGAAAAATATCTTAACCATCTAAGATTCGCTGATGGCATAGTCCTAATTGCTAATAGTCCAGAAGAACTACAAGCACAAATTAACGACGAATTAAATACAACCAGCAATAAAGCATGTCGCAAAATGAATTTAACAAAAACTAAGATAATCTACAACGAACTTGTAGACAGAAAAGACATTCGAAAAAATAACTCAACATGAGAAATAGTAGAATATACCGCGCTGGAAACTGTTTCTTTTGGGTCGGTATTGACATGTGTGGAAGTAAATCGCATAGGGATCTTATTAAGTCGGAGTGAGAGAAATGCGACGGTGTGCTGTTGCGGCGTTGTCGGTACGCCTGTCCCTAGTTTTCAGTGCACACAAGATAAAACCGTTTAACTTAAAAGTTTTTTTACGGATTTTTTATTTTCTAGTTTTTAGTATTTAACGGAAATGCCTACCGAATATTCCTCATTCTATTTAATTCATTTAGCGCATCATTATTACATGGTTTTTTACCTGATAATTTATTACAATCTGACGCTCAGGTGTTTCTGACGCTAACAACTCTCTCTGTCTGTCGCGTTGTGATGCCAGCCTAGACTCATGACGCTCAGGTGTTTCTGCCGCTAACAACTCTCTCTGTCTGTCACGTTGTGATGCTAGCCTGGACTCATGACGCTCAGGTGTTTCTGACTCTACCAGCTGCCTTTGTCTCTCACGTTGTGCTATTAACCTGGCATCATGTTGCTCAGGTGTTTCTGTTGCTAACCGTTCTCTTCGTTTCTGTAGTCGACTATAGGTTTCATTTTCACTTTCTTTTGCACGTTTCGTTCTATACTTTTCTTTCGCCTTTTCGAGCCTTCTTTTTCGTTGTGTAGCAGTTTCGTTTTTATTTTTGTTTGTTTTTTTATTTATAGTTTCCATGTTGTTCCCACGAGTAATGGACATTTTAACGGTCGACCCCCCCAGAGGTTCAGTAGAGGGGCAAGGCTATAATATACCACAAGAGGCGCCCAATCTTGAGGGGAAAACGCTTGCGACATTACATTTTTAGCCACCCTAATGCCATACAGTCCTCAGCACGTTTTAACCTATTACCTTAACTTGGGTGGTAAAACTACCGCTAACTACGTAGGTACATCTAATCACCTATTTTTTTTATCTGTCCTAACGTCATACAATCGTGGACACAACTGTTCTGGACACGACTACTCATGGCCTCACCTAATACGCCATTTTGTAACGACGTCCATCCAAAAGACTTTACTTTTAATTGAATAGATAATGTATCTGTAAATGTCCAGCATGCATGATTACAAGACAGTTTGATATTTAAACAGTCATATTCATATAATCTGTATTTAGGTAACGGAAAAAAAGTTTAATCATTTATCTACACCCATGTCTGTTCAGCAAACATCCGAATTATTTGAACAGATTGCACTTCACCAACACTACTTGTAATTAGATAAATATTTTTTAACCAGATATTCTGTTACTGATATTAATTCCTTTCACGCAATGATATAAGAGAGTTTCGAAGTTACACAATGTTTGCTAAACTGGTAGTGTTTACTTTCTCCATAGTTGTTGTACTAACTTCGGAATGCCCTCAAAAACCTTCAGAACCTCAACTCAATGGAATATATGTAAGTTTTTTTTTATTTTGTAAATTTCAAGAATCAAAAAATATATTTTAGTTGGAAGGCTACTGGTATGAGTTTTTTCAAATCAACGATGAACTAAACAACAATTCTTGTTCACATTTTCAAATCACCTGCGACAATTCGTCAGTTTGTGCAGTAGCTCACGTTGTTTGGGAATCTTATATATTGCGTACTATCTATGATGCCATAATACAACAAGAAAACGATACAGTTACGTTAAAGACTAAAGATAATTCTGGTGATAAGGAATTAAACATAACCAATATAAATCTTAGATATGGAGATGATCAAGTGTTACTGTGGAGTTGCGAAGAAGATAAACTAAGTAAGAATTGAAAAGCCTAAAAAATATTAATAATAAGAAATAATTTATAGGTTTTGCTTCGCTATTAATTAGAATGGAAACGAATTTAGACATGCAATTAGTTTGGGAATCGGCCGAGAGCAATAACAATTTTCCGAGCATTGTTGAAGACTTTCCTGCGGGTAAATGGAAGAAAATCAACACCTCGGAGTGTACTAGTTCTAGTGCTCTTACTTTAAGTAATTCGAATATTATAGTTGTAATTATTTTAATTTTACAATATTTTGTGGTAGTATAGGTAATTATTTACATTTTACATTATATTCATATTACATATGTGCATAGAATTAAAAAAAAAAGTTTTAATATATAATTATTGTGTTCAATATTATAACAGTAATGATTCTAATTTTACGATATATTAATAGTTATTTATTATGTGTTGTAGGGAGCATTGTATCCAAGCAAGAATGTTTAAACGCGAGAATGTAGTGCGAGCGTTTAATTTTCTTAAGTTGGTAAAATGCAACTAAAACACGAATGTAATTTAACATTTTATCCAGACACATGTATATTTTTAGTTAAAATTACAAAAATTTGATTAGGAAAAATTATCAGCAGCAATTTTTGAATTTTCTATTAATAGAAATGTGAATGCTAATGTAAATAAATTAAATAAAAATGTCGTATTTTAATTTCAGAATTTCTCATTAGTGGAATAGTTATTTTATTCCCCTAGTCGATAAAATATCACTTCAAATGCCTCATGAGTGGGAAATGCCTCATTATGTAGGGGTGGGGGTAGTTTTCACCCTTCCCGTCGTACTTTTAGTTTGATTTTTGTTAAAGTCCAATTTTAAAGCACTTAGCAAAACATATACACTCAAAATCTTATTCAGATCAACAACGGTTCTTAAAATATCTTAAAAAATGTATTTTTTCCATAGCAATTGTTAAAATTGCCTTATATCGATCAAAAATAGTAGATAAAATAGTACTTTAACCGCAAGGGTTGATTAAATGATACTTTAACAGCGAGGATAGGTTAAAAACTTTATTTCTTCTCGCACATTTTTTAATTGCTTCCATTTTTGAAATTTTTTGTATTCCTTTTCATAAGTTATTCGGGATTTAAATGGAAGTAGTTTGGATATGGCGTTTGTCGCCTCAGCCTGAATATCTGTTAGTAATTTACTTATTTCGTTTTGACCCATTTCTAGCTCCAACTCAATCAGCAATCGACACGAAAGAGAATTAAAAAATATTGACCTATAATATTGACTCAAAACTGACAACTAAAGAGACAGCTTTATTTATTTGTCAAATTACATAGAAACCAACGCCAACCCAGTACAATATTTTTTCTACTCGTAATAAATTCCTTGAAATAATAATTTCTGAATATTTTTTAAAACGTAACTCGCTATGGAAAAAAAATATTGTTTTATACACGACCATAAAATTGAATTATTATCGTCTTTTTAAAGTTTGTTTTTTGGTATGTGTTTTGTTCTTGTTTGTTTTGTATTACCACATATGGTTTCTTTTTAATAAAATAACTCGATTACATTTTTTCATTTTTATGCAGTTTTTTTCACAATATTTTGAAGTAATCACTTGTCAGTCAAATTTTAGATATATTAATTTCCTGCTATGCGTTCCAATTGTACCAACTTATTTCTTTGTAAAATAAAATAAACTACTTTGAAATTGAAACGACAGATACATCTATCACTGTCAAGCATCTTGTCGTTGGACAGACTATATATATAATTTTGACAAATAACAGCTAAAAATAACAAAAATACATTTGGATTAATATGTCTAAATAGTCGTTACTGTCATGTCGTACGATATGTATCTGTGAATGTCCAGCAGTATGAATATAAGACAATTTGATATTTACGTAGTCATATTCATATAATCTGTATTTAGCTAACGAAGAAAAAAGTTTAATCATTTATCTACACCCATGTCTCTTCAGCAAACATTGACCTATTGAACTATAATATTGACTCAAAACTGACAACTAAAGAGACAGCTTTATTTATTTGTCAAATTACATAGAAACCAACGCCAACCCAGCACAATATTTTTTCTACTCGTAATAAATTCCTTGAAATAGTAATTTCTGAATATTTTTTAAAACATAACTCGCTATAGAAAAAAATATTGTTTTATACACGACCATAAAATTGAATTATCGTCTCCTAAAATTAATTCACTCGCGACTTCATCGCTCGTGAATTAATCTTTTCGGTCGACGATAAAATACCATTTTATCGTCTTGTATAAAAAATAACTATTATTTTTTTAAAGTTTGATGCCCTCTAAAGGACCAACAAAGCACTTCTGTATAGAGGTATTCCAAAAATGTATAGTAGTTCTATGTCCACGGAATACTAGGACACCCTGTATATTTAAAAATATGTGTACTTACAGCATTTAAAGGCGGAGCCGATAGAATCGCTGTCCATTGCGTGATGATAGTCATAAACAGATTTACCAATGAGATCTTCTGGGGTATACCCTAATATATCCATCATACTAAAAAATAATAATATATTAGTATCACGTATTGTGAAATTTACAATGTAAAGTCTGTCCAGCAAAGATTCCGACATACATTGAAAAGACAGAAAATAAAATATAAATTGATATGAATTAGACAACTATCACCGTAATAGAATCTTTCATTGAACAGACAATAGTTATAAAAGAGTTTTTAATGAGAAAAGAAAATTCATAATCCTCAACGCATCATTTATTCGAAACTGATACAAACTCCTCAAAATTTAAAATAATCAGGCCAGTATAACGCTTGTTTTATAATTTTAAATAAAATTATTAAATATTTTGGATATTTCATTCAAGTTCACGTCACAAAAAAATGGAATAAGTTATTTTCTGAGTTCAAATTGCAGAAAAATACAGAAAATATATAGTGTATTGCCGTAATATTACTAGACAGACAGAAGTTGTACTTAACATACTCTTTTTAAAAGTCTTATACAAAGTTTTGATATATGGTCTTAGACATAGACTTAAAATAAAATATAGACTGAGCATCTCATTCATAAATAGCTGGAACATGCGGTCAGACAATGTCTTGTTATTGTTGTGTTATTGTTTTAGGTTATAACGAGTGCGACACGAGCGATAGATAGGTTGTCTCTGTCGTAACGGTCGTTCCCTGACGACTCTGCCGAGAAACACAACGCTGTCTGTCGTTTCTCAAGTACACCTGAACTCTCCGTATCATAGCCGGGTATTTTTATTTTTATTTTAATGAAGCTATATTTAAATTAAAAATATATCGTATAATTTTATTAAGATTTAGGACAGGTTTTTTAAATAAAAGTTTAGAAAAACCGCCTTACAGTCCAAAAAGGATAAAAATAATAAAATACACGTTATAGAAGAAATTTTATAATCGAAATTACGTAATTTTTGAAATTAATAATAAATTATTGAATTTAGTCAAACATTTACAACCCCTAATATTAATCAAAACAGGTTCTATTCCACAGATATAATAGAATCGGCGACAGGGAGAGAAAAAAAAATATGATTGTTGTAATTTTTTTTTCTGGTTAAGTGATGTCTTATGTAAATTAGAGAAAACAATAGCAGCTTTTTCCAAATATGCTAATGAGTCACCCTTGTTCCATTTGAACAAATTGACATAATATGTATGATTAGAAATACGATTTGTACATCTTTTAACCGGCCTAGACAAGACACGAAACCTATTAGACGATCAAAACTATTTTTCCAAGGCTCCTTGATTAAAACTTAGTGTTTTTAACAACACCATGGCACCCTGGATTGAAATTTAAAATAGGATTTGTTTTTAAGTGACAATGTCAAAAGTTGACATATGATATGTCATTCTATTCAGAGTGTCATTTTTTATCGAATAAAGTAGCAATATACCGAGGGTGCCTTTAAAAATCAAAAGATGTAATCATTTCGGTGAAACAGGAAGAGACCAAAAACAACTGAATACGCCAATAAATCCTAATTTATGTCATATACCTACTAACATACAGATCTGTTATCTGACATTATATAGTATCTGATTTATATAGTAAAAAGATATTTTATCTGAAAAAATAAAAAAGTTATAAGGGTGAGCCACTTTTGAGACGACCCGGTATATTAAAAAATATTGTTTCATAATGTAATATCATTTTAAAATCCTTGTATGTTATTTTAGATTCTGAAGATAATTTTAAAATAAACCGGAATATATTTTTAATAAAAACATTATTAATTATTAACAGGGTTATAATTATGATTTTGTTACAATGTAAGTAAGTAAATAATGTAATGTAAGAGAAAAAATTCAGATTTTACATTTTACTAAAATATTATCTAGATAAGCGCTTTTCTACAACAACGCCACTGACTCCCAATGGGTAAATTGAGAGTTGCCTACCGGTCAAAAGTCGTTTCAAGACATAAATGGATTATTTAAGTCAAATTTCTTGTAAATTTGGCAAATTTTATAGTTCTTGAACAGAAAAAGTCAATAAAATAACACTTAAGGACTACAAGCTAAGAAAATGCGTTAATACAGCCGGGGAGATAGCAGCAACTAAGCTTTACCGCACACGTGCAACACGTACTACAAGGTAATAAATGAATGAATAGGCTCCCTCGCCTCTAATCGGTGTTGTCATATTGTAAAGAACTTATCCTTTTTAAACAGTATCCGACTTATAATTTAGTAGTATAAGGACTATTTAATACATCTATGGAATATTAAAACCTACTTTATTAAACTGTAGTATTAATATCTCAATATATGTGTATAACAAGAAAAAAAATATTGATAATATTAAAGACGTGACAACATAGGCTGGATGAGGAAGGCTCGGTCGACTGTACCCAGAAGTAAACATGTGTACAAAAAAGATTGTTTGTCCGCGTTGAGATGTAAATAGTGTAGTCTATATTTTATTTTAAGTCTATGGTCTTAGACAAGGAAGGAGAGGGGACAGCTAACACGCATATTCTCCAGTGAAAAATTTTTGAGGCCAAAATTTGATCGGCGGCCATACTGTGGTGACAAGGTTTAGAGGTGACACCAAGCGAATTTTTATGTTTTTTGTGAATACGTTTTTGTGAATACTGAATAAACTGTGTTGTTTAGTATGGTGAGATGTTCGGCGTATGGCTGCAAACGCCGAAGCGAGAAAAAAGTGGCTGGAATTATATTTCACGTTTAAAACATATATATTTACATTATTTTTTATTTAATTATACATTATACACACGTTAATAAACAAATAAGTGTCTTGATGATCAGTTCACTGTGATTGTTAAATATTTTGCATTATCGGCTTAGATATTCTAATATTATAAAGGTGAGACTATAAAATACAAAATTGTATATGCATTACTCAAAAATAAACGATATATTAGTTAACGTTTTAATAAATATTTTTTATAGTCTAGATACAAGCTAATTTCTGATGCTACGCCATTGAAGAATTTCTAGTGGTGACAAGTGGCTTCACTTTCAGCTGCCGTGTTACCTGTCCCCTCTCTTTCCTTGTCTAAGTATATGGTAATCGCAAAACAATTTCTGATGCACGTGATCAACTTCGAGTGACAAGCGATAGCGACAGCGCTGCCAGATTGTGATGGATTTATGAGATGAATCTTAATTTAAAATTAACAAACAATATATTTATTATATTATTTATTAAAGATTTTTACGTTTTATTTTTAATTAAATAACTAGTATTTTAGTAATTAATAGATTTATTTGTTTTATAGCTTATTTTACTTATTACATATTATTGGCAAAAACTAGTCCATTATGAAGATTATGCCAAGCGTTATTATGGGTTATTTATTTATTTATTGATGTACATCTTACAACGCCATAAGTGGTAATAACAAGTAAAAGGGTGCTATTAATGCACAAACCAATAATCACAATTTAATAAAAACTAACGTAGAAATAATTTTGAAAGTGGTGTAATGGTGCTTATCAATCAAACTTGCTTCTCTGACTGCAGTCAAGGGTAATAAAGGACCTTTATTGTCACGTTCTCGTTCAAAATAGTTTATCAGGGAAGCTACAAGCTCTTTGCTTCGACTGTTTAAATGCTTCGGCATATTTTCAACAGACAATTTCAAGAAATGCAATACAAAAACTCGACAATTAAGTTCTGAAAGTTTGTGCTTAAAACTACAATTTTTAAAAAAAGACTATGAAAATAGGCAAAAAACGAGAATTACTCACAAAGATTCAACAACAACACGATATTATACAAAATAATAACTGACATTAAGATAATTGACGTGCATCGGAAAATGTTTTGCGATTACAATAGTATAATAACACTGTTAAAATAATGCCAATACTAGAAGGATTTAACCATTTCTTTCTTAAAACGACAATTTCAGCCACATTATGTCTAATAGGTGTTAATTTATTTAAATTCAATTATCGTAAAGTAGTATTAAAATTCATGAACGCCATTACTGAAATTTAGCTATATATAAGAAGTATTTTTAATATAGTAGTTCCTAATACTCACAATTTATCATCAGCATCTGTAAACTTCATATCCATGCTGTGCTTAGTTAAAAATGTTTGTCTGGGCAACGGGGTGTCGATATTTGATGGATGTGGTATTGGTTGACCTATTGCAACAAGACAGGTGGATAACTGACTCTTCTTGTCATCATCTGCTGTGTCTTTAATTATGTGACCAGTACAGTGTATCACCTAAAAAGGATACCTTTATTATTTACATTAGTATTTTGTAATTTTGATGAATTTATAGAATTTTCAACGTTATGTCAGAGTAAGTGGATCGACGAGTAACGACAGAAACCGTCGGCTCTTTTGATGTGGTGGGACCAAATTTTTGACGTGTCTGACAGATAGACTATTTATTTAACTGCTCAACTTAAGAAGTGGTCCTAGTAACATGATATACACTGCTCACAATTTGAAGTAGAATTAATTATAAAGTTTTATACATATTTATTTTTGTTTTGTTTAATCCCTATTTCTAAATTTGAATGTATAAATATGTTACAGCTAATAAATAATTAAAAAAATGATTCGTTGCTTGAGGCATACTTGAAATAGAGTATATAGAAATATTTGATAAATGGCAACAATGGCAACTTCGCTTCTTCATATGACACATAACCTACTTATTTCGCGCAGCCGCGGCGGCAGTCCAGGCTAGTCGCAAAGAAAATTGAAACCCGGACTGTCGCTACTCATCGGTTTACTTACTCTGGTTTTGTCTTTAATGTAAAAGAAAGCGTTTTAAAATGTATCTGAGATCAGGTCATATTGTTTAGAAAATTTTAAGTACGTTCCGAAATCATTAATTGAGCGAGTTTTGTTTTTATTAATTTCAAATAGTTATGTTGGGTCTTAACTTATTTTGATTGTTTCAATATATAATTTTAAACGCATATACCAGTTCTTTCTAGCTAAATTGTACCTATTTTAAAAATAAAGTGATTAAAAGAATTAGGACTATTCTACAAAATCTGCTTTGTGAAACTTTACAAGTTCAAAAATGCCAATTTACAAAATATCAGCAGCACGCTAAAAAAATGATAAAAAATGACATACACTAACTTAAACCTAATTGACAAATCCTTCTATAATGATAATAATATTTACCTCTTTGTATAAAAAAATATTAAGTCAAATCTATGTAATAAAATTATTTATTTTTTGTATTTATTATTTTTGAATTGTTTTTGAAACATGCCTTTAGTTAATATTATGCCTAATACAAATATTCCGAATCAATCAGCTTGACTATCAGCCAAGTATCCACAGTCAAGTTTTATTAAACATGATAGTAATAGCTCCAAGGGATCTGCTTGTTTGAATCAAGTACTATAATCGTGTAATTTTACGGTACTTGCTTCTACTCCATTTACACATTAAGATAACTTATAATTCATTGGCTTGAGCTTGATAGCAGGTTAGTTCAAGAACAATGTTTACTTGTTTATCTTAAAAATGAATATATAATTATATACATGGCTAATTAAATTTAGACATATAACAAAGTAAATTAGATCTCCTTTGTGCTAAAAGGTCATGATCACTGATCTTAAACACTATTTTGAATAGTAAATATAATTTATGCAAAACGTATGTCAAGAGAAATGCGGAATAAAATATAACAATAAAGTTTTGTTTATTTTTAAAAGTGTGACCTAGTTGTATTTTCTCTATATCAGTAAAAATGTTTTGTAACGTTTTAGTTCGTTACATGTCTTTTTTATATGTAATATATGATGGCTGGCCTATCATCACCGGATTCCCTCTCTTTCAGGCCGGATAGTTTATTTGACGCGTAATTTTTACGTTCCCTAGTCGCCAACCCTGTTATCGTTCGACACAACCCTGTTATCGCTCTGAGGAGGCGCTGTCAACATCGCTTCTGTCAACTCTCTCCGTGCTTAACCTCACTTTGTTTTGACGCTCTGTTGTATCCCAGCTTTTGGAAATGGTGATTATTTAAGTCTTGCTGTATAATTTGAATCAGCTGCTATTTCGAGGCTACAGGTAAAGATGAGTTATTACCTTTTATAGATTCGATATTATTATTGAATATTTTTAGGGTAGAGTACGGATGTCCCAACTTGTATTTGTGTTTTGCTGGCACGTTGGCGTCCCTTTTCTTTTGTCCTCCAGAATGTCACATGGAAGAAAGGACGTGTTGTTTATTATTTATTGAGCCCTCGGAAGTATTTCGAGGTAGGTTTATTTTGTTTATTAGACCTTGTTTGGTTTTAAACAAGAGTTTCATATTTTTAGGGTCCAAGGTACGGACTATTTCCAAGGTACGGACTGTGTCCAAGGTACGGGTAGTGTCTTATGTACAGACATTATCTTATATACAGATGTCCTGTGGACGAGTGTCCCCAGTAAGAACGATTCTTTTTCTTACATATAAGTGCCACAGCGTGGATGTAGCTTGAGTCCCATGCTGCTTCGTTCCCAGCTGTAAGCTAGTTAGTTACGGCTGTACCAATTTATGGTGCCCTCATTCTGGCCCCTTTGGTTGTGTTGGATGGCTGAGTACAGAGATGCGAGACCACCTCACGCTGTTACTGTTTAAAGCAAGATTACATAAAGAACAGCTAAGTGTAGATTTAAGTTATAGTTTTACATTTAACATTTAAAACATTTACAGTCTTAAACAGTAACGTACATTTTAAATAATATCGTACAGACTATATTTAGTGGTTAGATTATTAAGAACATTTATGTCGATTCAGTAGTTACAATGTGATTTAGATTTTAGGTTTCATTATATTACGCCTTGTAATAGTATTACTTTCTATAGATATTATTATTGTGCTATATTCACAGATGAATAACGAGACATAGATTCTAGAATCTACAGGTTGCAACATATCAGATTTAACACCGCATAAAATTTAACAATTTAAATAAAGTAATGCTACTTTTCTTATATTTTCTATAACGTTACTCGCATTGTATTTTTTCATAGTCTTTTCATAGAACATATTTAATATTATTTACATACATAGTTTTACTCAACAAATAACCACTATAATAATTATTAAAATTGTACAATGCTATTTGCCATCAGAATTCATCATGAATAAATATAGTCATTAGTTTTAAGTAATATACAACTGTGTTTTCTTTCTCTGTACATGCCTGGCGCCCAATATCTATTTTTTTGTTTATTGTTCTTAATTAGTTTTCTTTCCAGTGAAATACCTTATCCACGACTGCTCTCCGATGAAAAGCTGCCGTTCGCAGTGGTAGTTGTTTAAAAAACGCTACAGTTTAATAACAATATATGAAAAATATTATAACATATTATACAATATAATACAATATAATATCTATCCATTACGTAGCTACTTCATATTATAGTTTATTATTTTAAGAATAGCTACAAAGCAGATATATGTATAGTTCATACCAATTAAACTTTCAGTGACGTGATTAAGCTTGGCTGGCACAGCGTTGCCCACATTTACATATTTTCTTTTAATCAAAATATTTTAGGAAACAAAAATAAATTAATTATAAATACACACACCGGAAAATCTAGGGATATCACTTTATTAAAGTTAAAAATAAATGTTTTGAATAAACAACCACATATTTGTAGGCCGATTCTTTCTACTTCGATTGAAACGAAGTAGTCACACTAGTTATTTCTAAATTTGGGATATTTGCAGAAGTGTTGGGGGATTGTGCATTTTTTGTCAAATGTATAAAAAGCACCTAGCACCAATTGTTCGAATTTAACCTGTACTGGCTATGTTTATATGATAACTGGCCAGAATTCATTCAAATAACTCTGTTTAGTATTAAACGACATTATGGAGCGTAGACATCTTAACAGAGATGAAATGCTAAGGGCCATGGGTATGCTCGAAGCTGGAATGCGCCAAATCGACGTAGCTAGAGCATTAAATACAACGCAAAGTATAATATCGCGATTAAGTGCACGCTATCGTGAAAGCGGTGATGTAGCTGAAAGGCACACAGGGCGACATCGCATTACTACCTGTCCAGTACTTCATTAGTACTTATTTATTTTATATTTTTTATCGTTTTTGGATGTGTTAGATAGGCAACTAATGATACACCTTGTAATGTATTAGTATTATTAATCTGTAGCTCAGGTTACGAAAAGCTGTCATTCTTATCATTCTGATCATCTCTATCATTGATTTCACACAGTTTGTTAATTTTAATCATCAATTTCAAATAATACAACAAATAATTATCATAATTACCTATGTGTAATTTTTTTTTACCAATTAAAGTTTTTACAAGCTATCGAAGAGTTTAAATCAAAACCAAGACCAGCAATCAACAGTAGGTAACTCCGAAAAGCCGGGGTTCGTACATTTTGGTCCTACGGAGCCGGATTGGATGAAAACGCATGTAATTTCAACAAATTTACAAACCTTTTGGTTCAATCAAGCATCAGAAAATCAGGTCCTTCGAAACGAAACACTGTAAGTACTGGGAAAACGAACATTACAAAGGGGTACAACAGAAGCAAGCCCGCCGTTTCCAGTCGACAAAATCGTTCCAGAAACTTCCATGTTTGGACGCCATTTTGATTATTGAAGCCAGTTGAAGCCTTGAAGCACGATATATTACCAGATTTTACCAGATTCAGATGCCACGCTAATAACGCTGACCTTGCTGTTTGGTGTGTTAGTTTTTATTTTTTAATTTCAGAATATTTTAATAATTTTCACATTTTATCACACAAATACCTACAAACATCTTTAAGAGCGTAAATTTATCATTATATAATCTGTTTTAATTTAATATTACCTGAATCATGACTGAAATAGAGATGTCTAATGACAAAAGTGCCAGTTTGATTCAAAATCGTATAACAATTTTTGAGGCTTTGTCTCGATTCACAATTCAAGTTAATCAATTTTCAGATCCCATTAGAATTTATGAACTTCAAGCTCGGTTAGAGAAAGTTCAGCTTTTGTGGACTGAGTTTTCAAACGTCCAAACAGAATTAGAGCAGCTCGATAAGGATTCTAATCATACTGAAGTGAGATTAAAGTTTGAAGATGAATTTTTTTCATCTACAGGGAGAGCTAAAGGTATTTTAGACACTCATTTTTCTAAATTATATAATCAAAATAGGCCTAAGCCAGAAATTAATCCTATCATGAGCAATCACAATTTACCTAAACTCAAATTACCAGATTTTTATGGTA